CTGAAAAGCTCTTGTAAAGCTAAAAACAAAACGAACGAGGGTAGCGCCCAAAGAGAGGTAAAGGTAAAGGTTCCCTTGCTCGAAAGCCAGTCAAATCCGACTCTAGGGTTGCGGTGCTCATCTCCATTTCAAAGCCGAAGAGCTAGCGCTGTCCGAAGATGTTTCCGTGGTCATGTGGCTGGCATGACTAAACACCAAGGTGCACGGAACAACCCCAAACTGGGAATCTGGTTCAAATACGCTGCCCAGGTGGCTTCTTCGGGGACAAAAAGCACAAGTTGTCATCTTCCAAAAGAATATGAGTGATGGTTCTGTCAGAGCGGTCGGTTTTATACTGAGTTACTCCAAAACGCTCTTTGAAGGGGGAGGACTTGCAGTTGTCAGTCCTGCTAAAGACACGTGTTTGGCAGAGTGCTGCGCTTCCATCCCCAGTTTGAGGTTCTCCTCTCTTCTTTCCGTTCATGCAAAAGCAGCCACATTGTTGGGGGGTGAACCCAAACAAGTCTCGCACATCTCCGATGCTTAACTGCAGCATTTACAAGATCTGTCTGTTCTTCGGTTCTGTAGAGTTCCACCCAAAGTTGTGGTCAGCGGCTAAGAGCATTGGGTGACGATCCTCAAGGCAAAGAGCCTCTGTGACGTGCCCATCTAATCTCCGTGGACGGGCATCCCGAAATTTGTTCTAGGTAGCTTTCTCCATCGATGAAGGTTGGCCATACAGGACCCCATTGGAAGGGCTTGTCTGTGATTGGCCCCAACTGAGAATCAAACCTCTAGATCTCCCTGTGTGCAAACATTGAAGGTTTTCAAACAGTTCACGGGGGCAGTAGAGAATTTTTCATGTGCTGTAGTAGCCTGTGGTGTTGATGTGGTATTCGGCATGAGCCAAGCAATGGGTGCAGACGCTTGGAAATAGTTCCAACCTGGGCTCTTTTTGTAGAAAAAGCCCAGCAGGAACTCATTAGCATAATAGGCCACACCCAACACCAGAAACACATCAGCATATTAGGCCACACCCCTGACAGCACAGCTCATTAGCACATTAGGACGCACCCCCATGTTACCAGAAGTGTGGTCATCCAGCCACACCCATCTTTTGCTTGTTATTCTGTTTACCTTGTTTGTTGTCAAAACCCAGGGCCTTTTTTTCTAGCAGGAACTCCTTTGCATGTGAGGCCACACACCCCTAATGTAGCCCATCCTAATAAGTTCCTGCTGTTGGGTGTGGCCTATTATGCTAATGAGTTCCTGCTGGGCGTGGCCAACTCGGGAGCCAGCCGGAACTCCGCTCCTGTGCGTTCCTGCCCAAAAATAGCCCTGGTTCCAACCATATAGGCAGCACGTCCCACGTATGGCGGTTCGTACAAGGTGGCAAACTCCTTGATGTTCTCCCATCCCTCAGTGTCCCATGAGTATCTTATACCTTTTTAAGAGTGCAGACAGAACATTTATTTCTAGGCTCGTATAGGACTCATTGGCTACCCCTGATCTTGTTTGGCATGTGGAGTTGTTTCTTCCTTAGCTGTACAACAGGTGCGTTCAAAATGTTTCAGAGGTCCTGGTCTAATCAGCCCTTGAGAGCCAGTTTGGCGTAGTGGTTAAGTGCGGCGGACTCTAATCTGGGAGAACCGGGTTTGACTCCCCACTCCTCCACTTGCACCTGCTGGATGACCTTGGGCAAGCCGTAGTTCTGATGAGAGCTGTCCTTGGAAAAGAACAGTTTCTGTCAGCTCTCTCAGCCCCGCCTGCCTCACAGGGTGTCTGTTGTGGGGAGGGGAAGGGAAAGGACCTTGTAAGCCGCTTTGAGAGTCCTTTGGGTAGCGAAGGGCGGGGGATAAATCCAATTTCCTCCTCCCCTTCCTCTTTTCCCCCAGGAGCAGACTCCTACCAGCCGCTTGGTACTGTGCTGTGTTGTGAGCACAGAGCTGATGGGTTGTTACTGTAAATCAGCGAAGTCTACAGTGCTCCAGGAAGACCGGGCCCACTTTAGTTCCCCGTCCCTTCGTGTCCTGGGTTCCTTCTTTGCAAGCCCCCCCACTTTCTGGCTGGGATATAAGCAATGCTCCCTCTAAGCTGTGGAGTCCTGTGAGCAAAAATTCTACTTCGTGAGCGACTGGCATTAAAGTTGTGAGCGAGTAATTTCGCTACTGCATAAATTAGTTTGCTCTGGAGCCATCCCTTCCTGAGCGGAGACAGACGTGTGTGAGCCGGTGGCTAAAAAACTGTGAGGTAGCTCACACTCACTCATCTTAGGGGGAACACTGGATATAAGGACTCGGAAATTTCCGTTCCGATTCACTTCTGACAGAGGCCGCTTCGACTCTTGAAAGTTCATACCCCGAAAATTTTGTTGGTCTCTAAGGTGCTACTGAACTTGGATCTAGCTGTTCTATTCCAACCAGGCTACCCCCTGAAACGGTCTCTCCCCCGTCTCTGGCCTTCTTCGGGGCCTTCAGCCCTTCCCTATCACGTGCGTGGGAAGGCCCTGCACCCCACTTGGAGGATCACTGCCCCCGAACGGGGGACGTGGAAGCGGCAAGTCTTCTCCCTTCCTGAGCCCCAGCTAGCTGTCACTCACATGGTAAATATTCCATACAGGTTGTCGGACAGATATTTTGCCCCCTGAAATGTAAACAGCATATTGCACGACGCTGGGTCTTAATCGCTGCCAATTACGTGTCGCTGAAAATAAAATGCGATTCTCTTTTTGTAGCAGGGACTCCTTTGCATATTAGACGACACCCCCCCTAATGTACCCAATCCTCCAAGAGGTTACAGAGCTCTTCTTACCGGGGCTACTGTAAGCTTTTGGTGGATTGGCTACGTTAGGGGTGTGTCGCCTAATATGCAAAGGAGTTCCTGCTACAAAAAGAGCCCTGACTGCATGCTCCACTGGCATTCTGTGTCAAATACGGAGCCTCCCCAAGATGGTGGCCGTGTCATCTACTGTGAAGGAACGAGGTGTATACCCATTGGCTTCTATGGAGGGAACCTCTGGTGTCGGTTGTCAAAGACAAGCTTTTAGGTGGGTGAGGGACTGTATGAGGTTGCAGGTTCACACCAGTTACCCTGCACTTCCCTTACCCTTGAGATCGTCTGCCAGCCCTCAGTAGGTGCATTCCACAGGAGTATTTTCCAAAAGCACAGATCCGCAGCGGTTCTTCTGACTTTTTTCCACTTGAGCGCTTCACAGTTTCAGATTCGCTGGCCGGTTTCCGGCCAGTGCTGCGGCAATCACGGTTATTCCTTTACCAAAACCTTGTCTATTAAATGAAATCTATCATTGCTGCCACTTTGGTTGTATTTAATGCCAACAGTGGCTTAGGAGCCATCAAGCACACAGAAGTACAGCAGTCCCTGCCCAGGAATATTAAAAATTGGGTTAAACTGGTATTCGGGGGTTCGGGGAAGCTCAAAGGTACTGAGGGTCTTAATCTTCTTGGGATCTAGGAGAGATTACTTTTGGTATTTTAATGTATAGGTAGCATTATTTTTCGTAGGCAGCATTCCAGTACCGTTTTATCGTTCCGCTTTCCGAAACGCGATAAGCTGAGTTTACAGGTTGTAAATCCCAGTGATTAAAATGAAGGTCCCCCAGTATTTCTGCAGCAAGGTTGCCCTGTGCTTCTGTATACATTTGTTTTTCTTGAGCTGAGTCCTCATTTCCAAACAGGCGAGAGTTAAAAGCCTTTTGCACTCTCCTTTGCGGAAGAACACTGTAGGGGTGAGAACTGCGGGAGAGCCTCAATAACGGCCAGCCAGTTGTTTGCACACACACCCCTTTTACTACCTGTGTAAACCGTTACTTGGAAGATAATGCCTCCAGCTAGCCAGGAAGGAAAGAGAGTTTTCCAAGCTGCCAGTAGACGAGCAGCCATCCATCACTCTGGCACTGCTCAGCTGAGAATATTGAATGGGAGAGGCAGGCCAAGTTAACTGTGAGCCAGCCAAAGACCTTTGAGCCAAAGAAGGCTGTTTCCAGCTGGAGGAGGCGTGTTGACGTCGCAGAGAACAACCAACCGAGTTGCAGGAATTTCTGGAATATTCCAGTGGGGTTCTCCGACGAGAGAAACGCGGTGAGACCAGTGGATCGATCGAGCCTGTGGAGGAAGAGCCACGTCCTCAGTGCCACCTGTCCAGTTGGCTTGTGTTTTTGGTCCAGCAGTTGGTCATCTTGGCTGTCACAAGGTTAATGGCAGCAGATAACTTGCTCATCCGTTCACTTTTTTTGAGCCCATTTGGTGTCATGCCGTCCCTCTGAATTCGATGGTACTCCTTTAGGGAAAATCACCGCGTTGCCGCCTCGTGTGGGTCAAGCAAGCTGGGTCATTTCAGACCAGTGATAAGTTTCCCAAACTCTGCAGTCGCGCTGAAAAATATTAGCAGTTTCCGTTTCTGGTCAAAGAAAGGAGCTGCGTGTGTTTTGAGACGTTCTAAAAAGTGAAGCGTAAACTACTATTTTCCAAGGCAGATAGTTCAGCCACATAATTAAAGTTTCCTTCAAAAAGGCAAGGCGGAGGGGGGGGGGACAAACACTGGCAGTAATCCAAAATTCTAATTTCTGACTATGATTTAATTTCAATTTTAAATAAATCGGTTTTTAATTTAAAAAGAGTGAGCTTCATAACATTAGCAATGATTGCAACATTAAGCGCAGTGTTCACAATCTAGCAATATAAAACATTATTTATATCTGAATCGTAAACAGCCTTTTGAAATGGATTATGGTTTTTCTCCCTATTCTAATACAACCTGGAGGGTACTAAAAAGTGTGGTGTGAAATTAACATTCTGCTGACTTTCGCCTATAAATGAGAAGCGAGCTATTAACATTTGTGTATTTTCATTATGTAAATTGTGTTAACACATGCCCACAAATTGCCACCAGCGATACAATAATTTTCTCTCAGTGATCATAATGTGTCCAAGTGAGTCATTTTGATTATGACATGCTAATTACATATTGCCGCCTCTTTCCCCCCACCCCCTTCTTTTTTTCAGATTCAGAAAAACCAGGGATCTTTAATGGTAAGCTTTATGAGTTTGGGAAAAAAATTCACTTTTCTTTTTCCTGATGGCTGCTTCCTCTGCACGCTTGGATGCCTTGTTTTAAACTTAGCAAATTGCATTTTGCAGAAAATGCAAACCTTTTAACTGCCTGTATTAGATTAGGTACCATTAGAAATAATAGGACATCCTGAGCCGTGATGTTTTTATAAGAGTTTGCTGCTGTTGATTAATCTTGCTATATTTTATTGCATTAATGATTTTTGCCGCCATCCCCGTCCCCCCCCCCCTTTCTGCTCCACTGTAAAGATATCGTGTGTGGCTTAATACTTCTCTTCCCTCTCTCCCCCCCCCCCCCCGCCTCTCCTCTCCATCACAGCCTCTCCAGTTACTCCAGTGCATTGTTGATGAGGTGAGTCACTGTCTTATGTGCTTTCACTCCTAAAGTCATTCCTAATGGACTGGAAAGCTTATATTTTGTTTCCTAATGAAGCACAATGGCCTGTCGTCCTCAACGGCGAGACGAGATGCCTTCTGCAGCTCGGAACTGTAGAGCAGCGGCCGGCCTTGTCCTGCGCAGTGCCATTTTCTGACTCAGTTCCTATCGGGAAATCCTTGGGAAATGGAGACCCGCTTCCAGGGAAGTCCCGTTTTTCCCCCCCTCCCAGGTGGCAGAGAGAGACCCCCCTCGCGCCCTCGTGTTAATTGATCACCTCCCCACCTTGCCAGATGCGGTAATGGCGAAGAGACGAGAAAGGTTTTTGTACCTTTCAACGAGGCGGGCTTCCGCGCGGGTTTTAAGGCGCGCAAAAAGGGGACCCCCGTTAAAAGGGGTCAGAGTTGAATTGTAAGCAAGAGCGCATTGGAATGCGGCATCTTACTTTGGCTCCGCCGAGGGGGAGAAACCCGAAATGGGAGGAACCTCGTTGTTTAGAGCCCCGAATACCTGGGTTTGTTTGCTCTGATGCAGAGGTTGCGTAGGGGATGCTTCAGTTTTTTTCTAGAGATCCCTGCTCACAACACATCTGTGCATTTCCCATGGTGGGGAAAGTCTTTGGCATGGCGTGGATTTGTCCTGGCCCTTGAATTTAGCAGATCGCTCTCCGGACGGCAAGACAGCTGTGGCGCTGGGGTCGGGGAGAAGCTGCCTCTCTCCTCTTTGTGTAAGCACAGTCCAGAACTCCTCTTTCTCAGGATTTCTGGTCATCCCAGGTGTCTCTCTCAGGCCATTCAGTTGTGGGAGGCTGGGAGGTACGTTGCGTTATCTGGTTCAGAGGCAGGGCTTTTTTTGTAGAAAAAGCCCAGCAGGAACTCATTAGCATAATAGGCCACACCCAACAGCAGAAACTCATTCGGATTGGCTACATTAGGGGTGTGTGGCCTAACATGCAAAGGGTTCCTGCTACAAAAAAAGGCCCTGGGGATTGACAACAAACAAGGTAAATAGCATAAGAAGCAAAAGGTGGGTGTGGCTGGATGACCACACTTCTGGTAACGTGGGGGTGTAACCTGATATGCTAATAAGCTGCTATCTCAGGGTGTGGCCTAATATGCTAATGAGTTTCTGCTGTTGGGTGTGGCCTATTATGCTAATGAGTTCCTGCTGGGCGTGGCCAACTCAGGAGCCAGCCGGAACTCCGTTCCTGTGCGTTCCTGCCCAAAAATAGCCCTGTTCAGAGGTATTTGATGCCTGTGCACCCGCACATCCGCACCGGGGTTTATTTTATTTACTTATTAATTTATTTATTTGATTCTTTTACCCCGCCCTCCCCGCCGAGGCAGGCTCAGGGCAGCTCACATAAGGAAGCAGTAGATAAAACGAGAGTATAAATATCAATATAAAATACACAACATCGTTATCAAAACCAGTTGGCATAGCGATGGTGGTAAAGCTGCGGTTAAAGGGCACCTGAAGACATACATTCAGCGGTGGGATCCACTATCGGCGGGCCCAGACCAGAACCGGTGTTGGCACAGGGCATAGGTGACGGAACGCAGCTCCTTACCTAAATGCCTTGGCGGAAGAGCTCCGTTTTCGCGGCCCTGCAGAACTGTGAAAGGTCCCGCAGGGCCCCGGTCTCTTCTGGAAGCTCATTCCACCAAGTTGGTGCTTCCACAGGAAAAGCCCTGTTCCTGGTTGATACCTAGCCTGGCGTCCCTAGGGCCAGGGGAGGGCCAGGCAACTTTGCAAGCCTGACTCTAGTGCTCTCTGGGGAACATGTGGGGGAAAGTAGGTAGGTCCCTGACCGGTGTTCCCTCTAAGCTGAGTTAGTGTGAGCTAGCTCCCGGTTTTTTACCTTCCAGCTCACACATTTTTGTCTTCGCTCAGGAAGGATGGCTCCAGAGCAATGTTCCCTCTAAGCACTGGAGTCCTGTGAGCAAAAATTCGAATCTGTGAGCTCCTGGCATTAAAGTTGTGAGCGAGCGATTTGGCTGCTGCATAAATTAGTTGGCTCTGGAGCCCTCCTTTCTGAGCAGAGACAAAAATGTGTGAGCTGGAGGCAAAAAAACTGTGAACCAGCTCATGCTAACTCAGCTTAGAGGGAACACTGCTCCAGAGCAAACTAATTTATGCAGTAGCCAAATTGCCGGCTCACAACGTTAATGCCAGAGCAAAAGTAGAATTTTTGCTCACAAGACTCCACAGCTTAGAGGGAGCATTGTCCCTGACCATAAAATTTAGGTTTAATCTTGCTCCCTCTTTCACCAGGCTGTTTGCCAAGCGACTCTTCTTTCTCAGGGTTAGGGTTTATTCATTTATATATCCTGCTTTATCCATTTCTATACCCTGCCTTTCTCCCCAGTGGAGCCCCAAAGCAGCAGCTTCTCCCTTTTATCCTCGCAACAACCCTAGCCCCACTGCACACGGAGGGACGGCGGGCACGCGGGTGGCGGCTCTACCCTCCGATGATCACATGGCTGTCTGCAGGGGTCAGCCAGCGAACTCTTCTTCTCCATGATCAGCCACGTTCTAGAGCCAGGGTCGCTGATCACAGGGAGGGGGGAGTTCTCACAGCTACTTCCTCTGCAGGGTCACCCATGCAGACGAACCAGCGACTGTGCCGGGAGCGGGGCCCGTCTGCTTGCTCCAACTCTCAGTGGACGTCTGGGGGCTAACAGGAGGCAGCTGGTGTGTGTGTGAGATTGGCCCAAAGTCACATGAACACCTCAAGCTGCCTTCTACTGAATCAGATTGTCGGTCCATTAAGGTCAGTAGTGTCTACTCAGACTGGCAGTGGCTCCCCAGGGTCTCAGGCAGAGGTCTTTCACATCACCTCCTGCCTGTGCCTGGTCCTTTCTGGCTGGAGATAGCGGGGATTGAACCTGGGACCTTCTGCATGCCAAGCAGTTGCTCTACCACTGAGCCACAGTCCCTCTTTACAGCTCTCCAGGGGTCTCAGGCAGAGAAAGGCTTTTCACATCACCTACTTGCCTGGTCCTTTCTGGCTGGAGATAGCGGGGATTGAACCTGGGACCTTCTACATGCCAAGCAGTTGCTCTACCACTGAGCCACAGTCCCTCTTTACAGCTCTCCAGGGGTCTCAGGCAGAGAAAGGATTTTCACATCACCTACTTGCCTGGTTCTTTCTGGCTGGAGATAGTGGGGATTGAACCTGGGACCTTCTACATGCCAAGCAGTTGCTCTACCACTGGGCCACAGCCCCTCTTTACAGCTCTCCAAGGTCTCAGGCAGAGGTCTTTCACATCACCTCCAACCTGATCCTTTTAACTGGAGGTGCCGGGGATTGAACCTGGGACTTTCTGCATGCCAAAGAGGGTCTGCCAGTGAGCCACAGCCCCTCCCCTATATTTAATGAGCTTCCACGGCATCATGAGGCTTCGAACCTGGATCTCCCAGATCCTAGCCTGGCACTCTGACCACTGTGCTACACTAGCTTTTTATCCTGTGCATTTTATCCGAACCCCGCAGGTTTCGTTTTGTGTCCCCACAAACTTGTTTGCATAGGCCACACCCCCTGACATCACCGGAAGTGTGTCAGAAGGCAACACCCACTGCTCAGACTCCACTGGAGTGTTTTGGATTGCTAGGTATTGGGGGTGGGGGCGTGCAGATCCGTCCTCACAGAGGAGGGAGAGCTTGTACCTGAATAAAACTTGGTCTTAAAGGTGCCACTGGACTGTTTTGGATTGCTAGCTATGGGGGGGGGGGAACGTGCAGATCTGCCCTCACAGAGGAAGGAGAGCTTGTACCTGGAGGGGGGGGGGCTCTGCAACTTACCTGGTTGCTTCTTGCTCCTTGTGGCCCGACTGAGGGCTGCTGGGAGCAGGGGGCGGGGCTTGCTGCATGTACCCGCCCCCTGGGCTCTTTACTGCCAGAGCTCTGCTCCTGTGCGGTCCCGCAGGAAATGACCCCGTGTTATCGATCATTATTTACTGCTGAAGTGCCGACAGATAAATTAGATTGGACCTGCCACTCATGGACTCAAGCTCGTCTCCCCATCCATTATCATCATCATCATCATTTAGATTTCTGAATCACCCAATCCTTGAGGACACAGGGCTGTGGGCAATTTACAACAGATTAAAACGTAAAAAAAAAATACAGATAAAAACATTTAAAAAATACAGATTAAAATCAGGAAACAACAAAAACAACAAACAGTACATGAGGACTATAAGCTTGGTGTTTTGGGATTGTTGTTGTTTTTGGTGTTTTTTCCTTGAGGAAGTGGGTGAGTTCTAAAAAATCGCCACCTGCTCTCTGAGCCTCCGTTCTGTGCAGAATGGGGCAATGAACGTCACGCTGGTTTCCCGACTCCCCGCTTTCCGCAGAAGATGATTTCCGCTCCTCGCCAGGCCCTGGTGGGTGCCCTACCGCTTTCCCCTGCGCCTGTTGGCTCAATAGCTGCCTTGTTTTGTTTCCCCCACCGCCGCCTTCCCCGGCTTCATTCTCTTTCTGCTCCCCTCCCTTGGCTCTTTTTAAGATGCAGCCCTGTTGGGGGAGAATAATAGTCCCCACTTATTGTGCTAATGTGTGTGTCTCTTTCTAAATAAGGACCTCATGAGAGAAGGGCTGTTTGCTCTCCAGTATGGTGCAGCTGCTGTTGTTTTCGGTGCCTTTCGCGATAACGCGAGCGTTAGCTATTACAAGTGTTTAGTGTTCTAAGACTGATGATCTCAGGCCAAATGCTTCCCTTCTGTGGCAACTTCATGAGAGCAATTCAGGGCTGGGGAGGTCCTTGAACATGCCGGGGGGGGGAGCAGTTGCTCCCCTCTCCTTCAGTTGGCAGCTCTTTCTGTGTGGCGAGTCTCCCCGCGAGCCCCCGTGATAGCTGCACGTTTCCCAGCTTGGTGCCGTGGTGATCGTATCCTCCCTGAATTTAGGAACATTCCACTGCTGTCTTGGACCACCAAGGTGAAGGCGGAATGGGCAAATTGGGCATTTGCGTA